TGGAGGTCTGTCCGCCAGGTGTCTGAACAGGCTGTCCACCCTCCAGAGGCGAGAGGTCTTCCAGGGGCGGAGCAGCTTGGGCCGCCGCAGCCTTCAGGCATTGGAGCGGCTCTCCGCCTCCGGAAGACGCGGCGTATTGGCTCCGGTTCACCAGCTGGCGGCGGGAGCGCACTCCCGCTGGCGGTGGGAGCGGCTGGTGCGCCCGGCGCCGGGGCGTCCCGGTCACCCTGCCCTCGCACAGCGTCGGGCTCAGCTCTGCCCGGCGTCGGCCCGCCGCTATCCACTGCCGGACCTTCGCCGCCGTCCACGGTCTGGCCGTCGTCGCCGTCGACCCGGCGTGGCGTTGGTCGTCGGCTGAGGCGGTAATGGGCGCCTCTGTCGCCGGCTTATCCGGCCAGAATGCTGCGCCGTCACCGTCCGAGCCGTGACGTCACCATCCGAGCTGTGACATCACCAGCGCAGCGCGTCTTGGGAGATGGTGGCCGGCCACCGGTGCGCCGCACGGTGGACCGCCCGGACGGTCCGCCGTGCCCGGCGGACGGATGGGCCGCGGTGGCCGCGGCGCATCCGACATGTGGATCCAGCAGCGGCGGAGGTCCCAGCGCAGCTCGGATGCAGATTTGGCTTGCTGTCTGGAGTGATGTTTTTGCACCATGCGCTGCCAGAGAAGTGGTCAGGGTCGTGTGCCCATCGCTCATCCCGCGCCGGTGACGTCACAGCCGGGCCGCTGCCGCCGCTCCTGCATTCCATTCATGGCTGCGGCGGTTGGCACCGCGCTCTCTGCCCCCTCCCCCCCCCCCCCCCCCCTCTTGAGCGCAGACACCGCCCGTGTGGTATATATGCGGATGACACGGGGTTTACTACGGGCTCATCAATGTTGATGTTAGATCGCGACCGACCCCTTGCCAACCCGTATGCTGGAAATGCTTTATTGTCCACGTCACGCGGCTGGGCGATGAGAGCGCATGGGCGGGTCGGTGGGGTCGTCGGGGAGTCTGTCGATACACGACGCCGCCGTCACCGGCGTGGGAAGTGTGGCGGCCGGCCGCGCGAGACGGCGCATTTGTGTCGGGCGGCTGCAGACGGGCGCCTGCAGAGGGCCGTTGCAGGGGATCGGCGGCGGCGAGGCGGTGAGCGCCGAGTGTGGGGGCCCGAGCCACTTGGCACCGCCGGAAAGTCGGTCACGTCAACTGGCGCGGCGCGGCCCGGCCCGGCCGCCGACTGGGGCCGACCGCTCGGCAAGACGCGGTCGGGTGGCTGACCTGGCCTAGGTCTCGAGCGGCGAACGAGGCGCGGCCGGCGTCGAGGCCGGGTGGACCTGCTGGGTCCACTCGGGCGACACATCGGGTGGCTCAGACGCTGGCAGCTGGCGGTCTGAACCTGGCTAGGGTTGGCAGGCAGTCTAGCGTACATTGTCACGTCGCAGGGACAGATGACTGACCAGAGACCCGGTGAGCCACCAAATGAGAAATGTTCCTCCGAGGGGGCCTGCCGCCCGGCACCATGATGGGTGAGGAGCTGGTGCCTCCTCTCCCGAGCCCGCTGTCGTCTGTCCTCGGCCCCGATCCCCACATGAGAGGGAGGGGGCGGGCGGAGCGCGTGTGTACCGAGCGGGCGTCGCTGTTGGCTTGCGGACCGAGCGAAGGCCGGCTCGCCGCTGGCTCGCCGCTCCCTGCGCGCACAGACCGGCATTGAGTACGGCCGGCCCGCCGCTGACGGATGGCCGCCGCCGCTGGCGCGCCCCATTGTACCCGCCCTGCTGGTCTACTCCGTCCCCGTCACCGCGTCCGCCTGCCGCCGGCGCGCGCCCCGCTTCCAGGCTCTAGACGGCACTGGCTCGCGGCCAGAAACCGGAACGTTTTGCCGGAACGTGAGGCCACCAATGCCCGTACCATCTGCCTTTTCTTCCGTCGTCTGCGTGCTCCACGTTGTATCGCCTGCGCGTCCCGTCTGTTTTCCTGCGGCGCAGTCAGCCCACCCACCCTCGGCGCTCAGCTTCTGCCCGTGTCGGTCCGCCCAGGGCCTCTCGTCCGGTCATTCGACTGAGGCTGTATGAGGTGATTTATTACGCTGTGCTCGGTCCCATCAACCTCCTCATACTCCACTTGGCAGTCGTAATGAGATTGGAGCTGGGAATTGGTGTTCCCTCCCGGCCAATCAGCTCTGCCGAAGCCCGGCCTCGCCGGCTTCCAGCTGTTCGGCCTTGGACTAGATCCAGACGCCCGCAGCCTGCCGCCACTGCTCCAACCGGGACGCCGGCCTTTTTCTGCTCCGACTGTTGAGATGGCACTCTTGGGAGTCGTCATCGACGGGGATAAACGCCGTCACCGGCGATCGGTCCGATGTCGCCCCGGCCGTCATCGACGTCCGTCTGGAAGGAGGATGCAGGACGGCACCGTAGGCCCCGAGCGGGGTCCGACCGTGCCGTGTGCGGTCTTTGACCGCCACGGCCCGGATGGAGCCGGATCGTGGTTCCGCTGTGCCGTCTGCCGGGACCGCTGGGACTCGCCCGACTCGCTGCCGCCCCGGACGTCAGCCAGCTCTGCGGCCCCGGTGATGCGTCGGCTGTGTCGCGCGGGTCCGCGCCGGGGACCGGCCCGCCGCGAGCCGCCGAGCGCGCGCCGTCTGCCGCCCGCCGCCGCCGCCCGCCGCCCGGCCGGACGTGGGCGACGCGCCCGCCGCCCGCGCGCGTCGCCGGAGCGGTCGCGCAAGGTCACAGGGGCGCCACCGCACGCGCGCCGGGTCAAAAGGTCAAGTTCGCGGGGGACGGTAACGCCGCGCAGATGCGTAAAATCTGTTGTCGGGAGTTAACGATGGGAAACATCACTGCGGAAGCGGATGTGGAGTTTTAAGTCCAGCAGTTTAAAGCGGCATGTTGATGCGGGCGTCCGCTTCGTCTGCAGGCTCTCCGGCTTGACGTGTGTGTTCGTGTGGTCTATTTGACGCTACCGTCATCCGAAACCGGAGTCTTAATGTGAAACAAAGGCGCGCTAATGTCCACTTGACGGCTGCACCTGCTGATGTACTTCGTGTGCCGGATGAACGAGCATTGCCAAGCAGTCGTTTGTCGTTTCTCTAGTAGTGTTGGCGATTACTCTCGTTCACGCCGCCCAGCGACACGACTGTTCGCCGCGCCGGGCCGGATCGCGCGGCGCAGTCGGCCCGGCTGGGCGGGGCGGGGCGGGGCGAGGCTCGAGCAGGCTGGGGAGCGGGCGGCGCACAGCTGCGTACTGGCGCGACCTTGGTGGCTGTCCTCCGACCGCAGTCGTCCTCGGGCGGCCTCCTCAGTGCTGCGGACCGCCCGCTCCCGGCGCCAGCTCTCAGGCAGCTTACGTCGCGTCGCAGTGAGCAGTGAGCAGTGTGTCAGGACCGGATCGGGCAGAGACGGCGCCGCAGCGGCACTGGTGTGGCGGACTTCGCGGTGCGCGGGCGGCCGCAGGGCCGTCACCCCGGTCAGCCTGCGGGCCCACAGTGGGGCTGCGTGACCGGCGCCGAGCGGGTGTTACGGACGTGTCGGCCGGCGGCGCGCGCCGCTGCTGACCCCCCGCCGCCGCCTGCCACGCCGCTGGCGACAGCAGCCCGCGGTCGGGCGACGTGCCGCCGCCGCGCTCGCGGTAAACAGAGAGCCCGGGAATGTGCGCGTGAGGCGGCGCACCCGCCCGCCGCCGCCGCCGCCGCCGCCGCCGCGTGGCGTCGCAGCCGTCTGCTGACCGTGCGCGTCCGTGTCGACAGGCGACCGCGTGCTGAACGTGAACGGCCTGCCGGTGTCGCGGCTCCGCTACGCGGACGTGGTGCGCGAGGTGCAGGCCAGCGGCAGCACACTCTGTCTACAGGTGGAGCCGCGAGACAACGATGAGCTGCAGCTGGTCAGTAGCCGGCCGGCCGGGCGCCAGCCAGAATCCCCTCCCTCCGCGTGTGTGTGCTGTGTCGCTGTCACGGGGTCTGGCCCATCGTGTTGCCCCCTCGCTTTGTCCCTCTATCCGTATTTCCGGTCGGCCGCCCCTTCTCCTGCTGCTGTATTCCACCTTGCCATTCTATGATTAGCTCTGTGTGTGCACCTTTTTTCTGTCTCGTTCACCTCCATCATCCTTCCTCTCACTCAGCTGCGTTTTCCGCCTTCGGGATATGTTTTTGCGTGTTTGTGTCATTGCCGTGTTTCCGCACCAATCACCGCGGAGCACCTCCCGTCACCGACGCTGCTGCCGTCGCTGACCCGAGCTCGGTTCTCGCGCGGAGCGGCCGCCGTACCAGCTGAGTGCCGGCGCGCGCCCGCTCTGACGGAAAGCCGTAGTACCTGTGTAAATATAGCGGCGCGGGGCTCGGCGCGGCCGCCCGTGTCGCTGTGCCTATTTATACGCCGGCTCGCGCTCGCGCTGTGTGTGTCACCGTGATGGATGTCACCAGGCGGGCCGGGGCGGCCCGGCGACGACCTGACCCTGAACCTGCCGGCCACGTCGGCGCGTGCCATGCCCTCCCGACAGACAGTCCCGTCAGAGCGCGCCGTCGGAGGACTGACCTACTTGTCTGTGGGTCGGTCGCGGCGCTGCAGAGGCAGGCCGCCTGCGCGGCGGCCCCCAACTCGCGGGACCGTCCCGTGGGACGCGTGCAGGAGCCGGGCCGCGCGGCGGGCGGGTGTGCTGCAGTGTCACCCGCTCTCTCCCGGCAACAGGTGGTCTGGCGGCGGCCGCCGCCGCCGACGGCCGCTATCGGCGCGGGATGCCGGCGTCGGCGGCGTCGGCCGTCAGTCGGCTCCGACGGCCGGCGGAAAATAGCGCCGCGACCGCTGCCAGTCCGCCGCCGGCGCCGACGCCGTGCAGAGCCGAGCGGCGCCGGCTCGCTGCCGCGCTGCCGTCAGTCCGCCGCCGGCGCCGACGCCGTGCAGAGCCAAGCGGCGCCGGCTCGCTGCCGCGCCGCCGGCTCGCTGCCGCGCCGCCGCCAGTCCGCCGCCGGCGCCGACGCCGTGCAGAGCCGAGCGGCGCCAGCTCGCTGCCGCGCCGCCGCCAGTCCGCCGTCGGCGCCAACGCCGTGCAGAGCCGGTCGTCGCCGGCTCGCTGCCGCGCGCGCCGCGCCGCCGCCGGGCCGTGCTGTGAGAGGTGATCGGAGACCGCCGCCGGGGCCGGTGACCGCAGAGCAGGAGTGCCGTCATGATCCCGTCGGAGCCGCCCGCCGCCGCCGAGGTGACGTCCCGTGCCGCCGTGCCGTGCCGCCGCGTGTCGGCTGGCAGCATCCTGCGTCCGCCCCCCGCTCCCTCCCGGCTGACGCGCCGCTCTGTGTCCGCAGGCGTTCGGCGAGACGGCCCATCACCCCGTGTCGAACCTGAACATGAAGCCGACGTTCTCGCACCTGCCGCGGCCGCAGCCGTACCGGCCGGCCGGGGGCGCCGCGCTCGGCCTCGGTCAGCAGGCGGCGGTGGCGGCGGCGGCGCCGCACGTGCCGCTGGGCGCGGCCGAGGACAGCGCCAGCCTGGCCGGCGACCGGGCGCCGGGTGCGGCGGCGCGCCGGCCCTCCACGCTCTCCACGCTGTCGCTGCAGATGCCGCCGACGTGTGGCCCCACCGAGCCCGTCAACACCAACGACCCCGTGTACTCACGCATCCGAAAGGCGGTGGAGACGAAGGCTGAGTTCCTGAGCCGGCCGGCGCAGCCCGTCTGGCAGCCACAGCAACCGCAGACGCCCGTCGTGCGCGAGTACCACGTGAACCCGGCGCGCTTTTCCGCGGCCGCCGTGGCCGCCGGCCGCGCCGCCGCCAGAGCCGGCCGCCCGCTCGCGGCCGGCCGTGGAGCCGGAGCGGCGGCGGCGTCGGTACCGCGCCGCCGCCGCCGCCGACGCCGGCGCCAAGGTGCCGGCCACGGCGCCGGTGGGCGGTGGCGCGCCGCCGGCCTTTCCGGCGCCGCGGCTCCAGCTGACCGGCTCGCTTTCGCTCAGCTCGAGCGCCGACAGCCTCGCCTCGCAGGCGGGCGGCGTACCGAACGCCACGGCGCGGCCGTACCGGGCCGCCTCGACCGAACCGGGCCTGCCGTCGCCCGAGTACGTGCAGTACGACGCCGTGACGCAGGTGCCGCGCGCCAAGGTGCCGCCGCCCGACCACAAGACGCACATCGTGTCGAAGCGCGCGCGCCAGTTCGAGACGGGGCACGTCGACAACGACACGTACTCCGGCCGTAGCTGCTACCAGAGCGAGCTCGACCTGCTGGCCGACGCGTCCAAGCGGGCGTCGGTGCGCTCGCGCCGCAGCGAGTTCGAGCGCGACCCAGCCGCCTCCGACGATGGTAGGTGGCGCTCCGCGCGCCGTACCGGGCACTGGCAGGCGAGGTTGGCGGCAGTTAGGGGTTCTGGTGGTGGCGGCGGCGGGAGGGGTGGGAGGCTGCAGCGGGAAGTGGTGTCTGGAGGGAGCGCTGCCTAGCGGCGTAGTGGTAGTGGTGGTGGTGGCATTGGTGCTCGGCGGGAACGTTAGTTTGCTCGTGCGATGTGCGTCCAGAGATGTGGGCCGGCGGGTGCCAGCGACGTGATAGGTATTCCGGGCCGCCCGTATTAGATGCCGCTTCTGCCCCAACGGAACTTGAATCTTTGTCTGCACTGTCTTCTTCGGCATGACTTGCCACCCTGTTTATGTTGTAGATAGCTATGTGGTTTGGTGTGTGCTTATTTGTTCATGTTGTGTGGATCTAGGGGGCGTCCCTGGTACCCTATTCCTGGCCGGTAACCGTCTTGCTTGTTTATTTGAGGTGCAGGGCTTGCTGAAAGCTATGGCAAAACGTAGGCCGTAGCACCGATATCTGCGAACACATCCTGCTAAACAATAGCCTTCACCCTCCCTACCAAGATGTAGAAAGGATGCGACGCTGGATATTTGATTCTACTATCTCATACTTTCCCCTGGATCTTGCTAAATATTTATTGTTACTTTTACGAATTGTCAGCAAGTCTGTTACGTTCCATTGTTCAACCAATGAAATAAGGTGAAATGTGACATTTGCGAATGCCTGTATCGTTTACGAGCCTTGGCTGGATATAGCCGTCACCCGAAGCGGCCAAGCCTGGTGCGAATTTCACCGGAATCGAGCGGCCCAGGTTGCCCTTTTGACCCGCTATCTACATATAGCTCAACTGTTCCCTTGCCGCTACTGGTGGTGTAAGGCTCCGTGCCTTACGTTTTCACGAGCTTTGCCTTGTGCTGCCACCTGGTGGATTTTTCGGTCCCTCCGTCCATCGTTTCCCCTACTGGCCCTAAATGCCGTATCTAGTTGGTTGTTGTCCCATGTGTGTGTGTGTCTGTGTGTGTGCTCAGGTGGCGCCCCGTGTGTAAGACTCCGGCTCGAAGTGCCGCGTGCTTGGCCCGGGCGTCGCCATGGGCTCCACACCGCCCCATGCCCTGCCCCATGCGTGACCCGCATTCCGTTCCATGCGTGACCCCAAGTCTCGTCGGGCGTGCGTGTGGCCCCAGGCCGCCGACCGGCCGCGCGCGCACCGCCGGCCCGCCAGTGACCCGGCGCCGCCTCAGGTCGCCGACTGCAGAGTGTCATGTCCGACCCCGAGCTGGACCTGACGCTGCTGGAGCGGGCGCGCGAACACGAGGAGCAGTACCGCCGCCACCGCTACCGCCGCTCGCACAGCGACGCCGGCAACTACGTCACCAACCTGGCCGTGCTGCTCAGTAGGCGAACCGCGCCGGACCAACGCTCTCACGCCTGCTCACACGCCGCCGGCGACCGCTCACGCGTAACGCTGCCTCTGCTGGCTCACGCACGCGCCGCGAGCGGCCGGCCACGCGCGCGTCCTCACGCGGTGCGAGGCCCCCTCCGGGGGACGGTGGGGAGGGGACGGCGCCGCTGACCGGGCGGCTCTCACGGCCTGCCCGGAAGTCGCGGGGTGGCGCGCTGCCGACTCGGCGTCACACGGGTCGCGGTCCGAGTGACGGCGTCACACGGGTCGCGGGTCGAGTGACTCGGCGTCACACGGGTCGCGGGCCGAGTGACTCGGCGTCGCACGGGTCGCGGGTCGAGTGACTCGGCGTCACACGGGTCGCGGGCCGAGTGACTCGGCGTCGCACGGGTCGCGGTCCGAGTGACTCGGCGTCACACCGGTCCTCAGCCGATAGCGTCGATGACGCGTCCGTCCGCCCGCGGGTGCAGCGGTGTGGAGGGACGGGTCCGCACTGGCGGTGCCGCTCGCGGACGGACCCGCTTGTGTCACCGCTCCGATACTGATCTGGAGAGATCACGGGAGGCTCGGCGTCGCGCGCCACGGCCGCGCTCGGCCGGTGTCCAGGTCGTGAGCTGTCGGCCGGCACGGGTCGTGACGACGGGACTGGTGACGGTTGTGCCGGCGCCGGCCACGCTCGTTAGCGGCGCCGCGCGGCTGTTGGGGCCGGATGCTGGAGCGACCGGGGCCGTCCCCGAGCGAGTCGTGACTGGACGACCAGCAGGCCGCGCGGCCGGACGACTGGGACGGAGACGCCCGACGGCCGGCCGTCGTCAGGCCGAGACAGAGAGACTCGTCAGAGAGACTCGCTTCTGGTCACCTCTGACCCTGTCAAGGTCGAACCTGCGCCTCAGACACCGGCTTCGTTCCTGCTGAGGATGGCCCAGCTGGGACGCATTTGCAGGGCCTGTGTGCCGGCTGTGGTACCGTCCTTGCGCCATCCGGTGGCACGCATGCACTCGGCTTAGTGTAGCCTAACGCGACGAACCGAGTAAGCTAATATTTGCACGTCATGCCTCTTCACAAGGCGTGGGACTTTGCAGTATTCACCGTGCAGGAGTGCGTGCTCCATCCGCATGGCTAGTCTCTGCCACTGGTGCATGTTCCGTGGCTCGCCGCCCATCCTGTGGGGAGGTGAATTCATCGCCGCAACTTCCAGTTGCCGTAACACGTTGTGGGCCTTTCAGCGGTTTGCGCATCGTGTTCACGTGCCACCACGGACAGCTGAGCCGCAGTGTCACCTCACAGTGCCCTGTGCGCCTCCCTCGGTCCCTGCGTACCCCTGCAGCGTTCCGTTTTCCCCGCCGCACGCTCAGTGTTGCGGGCGTTTGCCCTGTGCCATCAATGCCCTGTGTCATCCTCGCAGCATTTTGACCAGACCCGCTCCCTCCCATCATGCTGTCACAACGTCCTGGCTGCGTTCCCCCCGCGCTGTCCCTTCACTGTGCGTTCTTCAGGTATCATGCGCTCCTGTGTATCCTCACAGCGTCCCCTGTGCCCCGAGCCTCCCACCCCCACCCCCACCCCTCGGCACCCAGAACGCTCGCCCTTTGTCTCCAGTGTATCTCCACAGCGTCTTGACTGCTTCCGCCCGGTCTCATTGTGCCCTGGCAGAGTGTCTCCCTGTTGCGTTGTGCCCGGGCAGCGTCTCTCCCCGCCCCGTTATGCCCTGGCAGATTGCTGACGCCGCGCCCGCTGTGTACCAACAGAACACTCGGGGTCGGAGGACGCGCCGGTCCGGCCGCCCCGCAGCGGCAACAGGATGGTGATCGTGGGCGGGCCGCGGCTGCACGCCGAACCCCTGCACGAGAGCATGTACCGCGCCACGGACCGTCGGGGCGCAGGTAGGTGGGCTGCGAGCGAGGCGCCGCCGCCGGGCTGCCCCGCCCCGCCCAGCCGCTGATGAGCACGTGGCGACGGGAGCGTGGTGTCACGAGCTGCACGCTGTAGATGTCCATTTATGGTAGATACTACGGATTGGTAGGTAGGACTGTCTCTGGGGTATTCCTGGGAAAGTTGTCCACTGAAGAAGTGGCTGATAATTACAAGATGTCCCATCGTTTGCGTGGAATGTGATGAATGTTGCGTTACACGGAGCTGCGTTGCTGCTTCGGGCTGGCTGTGGGAATCACGACATAGCCTCAAGCCTATTTTACCATCTGCTGTTTGAGCTGTGTTGCCTTTTGCTGGCCTCTTGCCCGTCTATGGCGCCTATTTCATTGCGAAGTGCGCGGGGTGCCGGTAGTGTAGTGGTTAGCGCGTCTGCGTTGGCTGCTGCGCGTCTGGGAAACCAGAGGTACGGGGTTCGATTCCCCGCGGTGCCCGCCCTTCCTGCAAGGGTGAGAGGCAGTCGACGCCATATAGCCTCAGCAGCTGAGTGCGTCGTAAAGCCCCAATGACACACACATTGCGAAGTGCGCTCCCGGTCTCGATGGCGGTCTTGTAGCATTTGAAGTCTGCGTGACCTCCCCTTCTTTGGAAATGCGCCCCAAAGTCCTCGTCACAATTCGCCCCTCCTGTGGAATTGCGTCCCGAAGCCCACGTCTTTCTCACCCACCCCCCATCCCCCCTTTGCGTCGGGAGGCCGGCTGACCTGACCTCGCCGCGTGGCCGTCGGCAGAGGTGGGGCCGAAGCAGCCGCTGCGGGGCCGCTCGGACTCGACCGACTCCCAGGGGCTCGGCTGGCCGTTCGTCATCGACACGGGCCGGCCGCTCTCCAAGATCTCCGAGGCCGAGCTGGAGCCGTCGCCCGAGAACGACCGCAAACGCAACAGCGCCGAGCTCATAGTCGCCCAGGTGAGCCGGCCGAATGCGGCGCGCTCGCTCGCGCCAGTCTGAGGCGGGTGGCGTCTCATGCCGGAGTGGACGCCTCCACGCTCTGTAGGTCAAGCTGAGGCGGCTTTGTCTAATTCCGGACGTGGCAGTCTTCCTGCTCAGGATGTTTGTTTTTTCCTTTGGCAGTAGGTGTTTATTTGCCGTTGCACGCCACTGAGACGGATGTTTTGTCGGACCGAATGGTGTCCTCATCGCCCCACATACACCGACCCCCGATTATTTAAACAATATGTTACTTCCCTCTGCGTGCCGAATGATTCGCAACTGCCTAGGCAACGCCACTGCTGGGGTATCCGCGTATCTGCTGTCGGTCGCCAAGGAGCCGACAAAGGAGCCGCCTGTTGGACCTCAGCTGGCGGTGAAGCCGGATCTGGCTCGTGACCTTTGCTGGGCCGTGAGGTGCAGCCGGTCCCGGTCGGGTACTGGTGGGGAGGCCGGTCAGGGGTTCCCCGTCCCGCGTGGGCGCGCGCCGTATTGATTGTGGTGCGTCCGAGGCCTGCCCCGCCCGGGCGGTGGCGCAACCGCGTACGGCAGGCGGCGCCACCGCCGTCCGCCCGCCTCCCCCGCGTGCCTCTCGCAAACGGAACCACGCCTGGGCGCCGCGGGTCGGCATGCTAGCGGGGCGGGCGGAACGAGGCACGACCGGCCCTGTTCCCGGGCCTGCCGCCTCGTCCGGCCAGTGCGGGACGCGCCGTCGGCTTGGGCACCGCGGGCTCGGCTCTGAATCTGTAGAGAGGCTCACGGCCCGGGTCTGGGCGCACGGCCGTGCGGTAGTGCCTGGGTGCTGAAGGAGGATGGTTTCACCGGGCCCGGCCTGACCTCACCTCATTAGTGGTAAAGCATAGTCATCTGGTAGCCGCGCGACTTGCCCGCGCGTTGACGCGCTTCAGATGTGTCGCACTATGTCTTTCTCATGGTGTCGAAAAAGCCCGCATATACAAAGCTTGCTCACAGTCGACCGTCCAGTGCGACCTCGCATAATTGCCGGTCGCCGCCGGCTCGCACATCTTGCAGCTGCCAGCGTCTGCTGCCCGAGCCAGCGAGAGTCTGCAGTGCGGTGCCGTCTCCCTGCTCTGGTCTGCAGTGCGGTGCCGTCTCCCTGCTCTGCCGTGCCTCGCCGCCGTCGTGTCTGTGTGTCGCTGCTGTGTCGCCGCGTCCTGAGCGCCACCTTTATCATCAGGTGGAGAAGAAGCCGAAGGAGTCACCGCCGGCCGCCCCCCAGGTGGCCATGCGGAGTCGACACCAGCACCGCGCGCTCCGACAGCCCTCCTATATCGCGGCCGTGAAGACCCCCACCCCCGAGGCCCAGGCCAAGTAAGCACGAGCCCCTGGCCTGGCAGACGCCTGGGACAGGCCCCCAGCGGCGCCGGCTGCTACTAACGCCGACCCGAGCAGGCGCTCAGCTCGGGCAGCTTAGACGAGATAATCCATGGCTTTTGCCTTACCTTTTAGATCAGCGAGATCCAGAATGCCAGCGCGCTGGTTTGTTTGAGCTCAGTGCATTTGAGCTGTGCATGACACCTACACTTTGTTATGATTGTGGCGAAGTCGGGGACAGGTGTGCCGACAGGCGGGGCTGGGGAATGCCCTTGCGTTGCTGCTTCAGTGTAGCGCCCCGAATGCTTCTGTCGTCGTGTATTTCGGAACATGGACGCTGCAACTAAAGCTGTCTTGGTGCTCCCACACAAAACTAGTATCAGACCTATCAACAGGCTGGCACTTTTTAATTCAAGTTCTTTTCGAATCAGAGGCGATCTGTGGAGATCCCACATGAACGGTGCACTCGATCTGTGGAGATCCCACATGAACGGTGCACTCGATGAAGCCCTGGACTAAGGAGCTTGTAATGGCCTTGTGAGTCGGGCTGTAGGCGGCTTATAGTACCTCGACATGGCTTATCTCGCTTCCGGTCCGGGTTGCCTTAATCCCCCATGCACGACGATAACCAATGGAAGATAATTCCCTCCGTTTTACCACACGCGATGTTTGCGATCGTGGCAATCGATTCCACTCGTGCGGAATTTGGCGCTTGTCACCCAGGAAACCGGGCCCACAAAAACCGCCCACCATTCTCGTCACGGGGCCCGGGCGTGTGTGTCCGGTCTGATCTGCTGGCCCCCTGTCTGCTTGGGTCCGCCTCTCTGAGGACCCACTGCGTGCCCGTCCAGCGGCGGTTGTGGTCTGGCTCGGCGCTCCTGCGTGATCCTCCGCCTCTCCCGGTGCCTCCTGGCCTGCTGCCCCTCCCCCTCCCCATCCCTTGATCTCATCTTGAGTCGGGCGGCTGAGTTTCGTCAGCATTTGGCCGGGCACCGCCGCCGGTAGTCTGGTTCCCAGGTCATGATCAGGACCGGGGCTCAGAGTTGGCGGCAAGGTTCTGCGCGTGGCGCTGGCCCCATGGCCGGCGCCAGTGACCTTGGATTGACCTGTGAACCCTGACCAGGTGCGCATCACCACGTCAGAGGGGGGGGGGACGTTCCGCGTAGGACCCGTAACCCAAATTTAGGGGTAAGCTTCGTAACGTTAGAAGGTTGGTCCTCGCGCACTTAAACCTATTTCGTGCGTCACAAGGAAACCTGAGTAAGCGATAGGTATAGTTCGGTCACTAAGCTACCGAAGCAACCTTTTTATTGGAGATCCCTTGGAACTTCTCTTATCGTGAGGAAATTCGGCGTTGCCGTGGCCAGGAAAGACCACACGCATGGCTCAAAGGGGCATCATGCATGAGACGGCCCCGCCGCCGCATGCTGTTGGTGGCCTGCCGTGCGGTCAGGCCGCCGGGCGCGCCTGACCTGTCGCCCTTCCTCGGCCGCGGGCCACGGGTGTGCCGGCCGAGCGGCGCGGCGGACCCGGCGGCTATGACCGGCGCCGCCACGCCCAGGGCTCTGCCGCCGTTGGCCGCCACGAGCGGGGCTCTGCCGCCGTTGGCCGCCACGAGCGGGGCTCTGCCGCCGTTGGCCGCCACGAGCGGAGCTCTGCCGCCGTTGGCCACCGCGAGCGGGGCTCTGCCGCTGTTGGCCACCGCGAGCGGGGCTCTGCCGCCGGTGACTGCCGCGGGCGGGGCTCCGCCGCCGGTGACTGCCGCGAGCGGGGCTTTGCCGCCGGTGACCGCCACGAGCGGCGCTCTGCCGCCGGTGACCGCCACGAGCGGAGTTTTGCCACCGACAACTGTCGCGAGCGGGGCTCTGCCGCCGGTGACTGCCGCGGGCGGGGCTCCGCCGCCGGTGACTGCCGCGAGCGGGGCTTTGCCGCCGGTGACCGCCACGAGCGGCGCTCTGCCGCCGGTGACCGCCACGAGCGGGGTTTTGCCACCGACAACTGTCGCGAGCGGGGCTCTGCCGCTAGGGAACGCCGTGAGCGGGCTCTGCTGCCTCTGACCGCCGCGCCTGGAGCTCTGCCGCCGGTGACTGCCGCGAGCGGGCGGTGCGCAGTAGTGGCTGCGATGGCCGGCGTCCGACCTTGGCGGTTCAGCCTCCCATCCGGCCGGCCGGCCGACCGGCTGAATCACGCGTCCTCCTAACGTCACGGACCCGTCACGGTCTGATCGTGACGCCGCGTCACGGGGGCGATGGCCGGTGCCGCCCACGGCGCCGGTCATCGCCGCAGCTCTGGTGCAGGCCGAAGCGACGGTTCGTCTCAGTTTCCCCAGCGGCGGTGCGTGATGTGGCCGACCGTCACACCCTGCCGCGGCTCGTGACGCCGCAGTGAAGCGGACCGCCGCGCCGGTGACCTGACATGACCCGGCGCCGTGCGTGCCGGGCCGGCGGTGGTGTTAGCGGGCGGCGGGCGGGTGCGGCAGGGTCGCCGCCGCTGCCGTGCTGGCCGGCCGCCGCAGTCGCCGCCCGGCCGCGCGCACCGCCGCACGCGTCCGCGCCGCCGCCGCCGCCGCCGCCGCCGCTGCTGCCGCCGCGCGCGCCCCGGCCGAGCCGGCGCCGCTCCAGCGGCCGCAGTGTAGCGCGCTCCGCCCGCCCTCTAACTGCGCTCGGTAACGCTGCTCAGTGACGCGCCAGTGGCCACGTCGCCAGACTACTTACCAAGTGCGCGTGGCTGTGACGCGTGCGATAACGCGCTCACTGCGCGGGGATCGCTACTCTGTGACGCACGCGCGTGCGTGCGCGCGAGTGCTCAGTCAGCTCAGTGCTCAGTCGCTGCGTGTGCGCGGCTTCGTGACTAGTGGAGAAGAACGAAGCAGGACTGGCCAGGTTCGTCGCTTGGCGGCGTGCGAGCGAGCCCCGCGCCGAGTGACCGAACCCTGTGCGTGGCCGCGTGCCGCGCGCGCCCGGCCTGCCCGACGGCGGAGTGCTCGGCTCCGAGCTGCGGGGCCGAGCGGTCGCCGATGGAGCGGGCGTCGGGCTCCGCCTCCGGCCAATGCAGGCGTCTCCTGCCGGTCAGTCGGCTCGATGCTGCAGATCGTGATCTGGGGACCGTGCTTGATCGGCGGCGGCGGGTGGGGCGGCCGCAGTGCGCCCCTGCCCTCGGGCTGGGGGGGGGGCGCCGGGCCCGGCTGCGCAGTATGCCACTCACGGTCAGATGATATACGGGAGCGGCTTCTGGGCCCGGCCGCGGGCGCTATCTGAGAGAGGCCGCCGCCCGGCCCGGCTCCGATCTTGGTCGATGTGCAGACGGCGGCTGTCGGAAAGCAGGGCCGAGCAGGCTGGAGCGAGCGCTCACGGCCGCCGCCCAGCCAGCGGCCGTGACACCGGGGCAGTTAGGGGTCGCCCCAGAGAAAGCCGCCGCTCCGGTCAGCACGGTTATGTGTGTGATTTGTGTGTGGCGGTGTTGGACTGCTGCGTTTCCCCCGAGTCACCTTCAGGCACCACCGTATTGGCCCCAGGTACATGTATCGGAAGGACACGGCCACCGAAGCTTTGGCACTGATCTGGCGCGCTTGGGCGCTGAAATTGCGCTCCCGGTTCGAAAAGGAGCTGGCGCTGTGTTTGGGTTCTTGAAAGGCCCGCGGCATTGTTCAGGATGAGCGCAGGGGAATATCCCTGCTGTTTCTATTCTCCTGCTAATCCACAGACCTGTGTCAATATACCTGAGTAAGGGTTCGGCTGTGAATGATAATGTCAACTGTCTCCCCGTTCTTAGTCACCCACACAGCCTTTGCATCATTGCAGGTGACTTGTGAATGGTTTGCCTGTCAGCTGGGACGGCTGTGTTCATTGATTCGCTGCATAAAGCCTATGGGAAGCGCTGGCAGATGTTGTCATTGATTTGCATCTGATACGTGTATTTGGTATGTTGATCACCTTGGCCGGTATTGTAAACAGGGCCATAGCCTTCCGGTGCCAAAAGCGATTATTCAAACTGGCCCGTCTGATTTCCGGCGGCCGCATTCATGAGCTTTGGAGAGTCGTCTGGTTGCCACACAGCACATCGCCATGTATGCCTGGTGCGGCGTACCGTGGCCTGCCATATATAAAACCACCCGCTGTAGCCATCAGCATATCCGCATAATAAGGACCTCCTTGTGAAGCATCTGCGCTTTAATGCATGTCAAAAATGGGCTGCGAATCATCGGCGCATTCGGGCTCCATTGTGATCGGCGTCGTCTGACGACGATGTCTCATTTGAATGTTTACGTCTTCCGCCGCCGGTAGCCCGATGCCGCGCTCTGCCCGTCTGGTCCACACACAGGGGGCGCCGGCCGCGTCCCTGTTGAGGAGTGGCCGCCTGGCTGGCGTCTGCGAGGGCAGCGGGCCGCGCGCCCGCGCTGTACGTCCCGCACCTGGCGGGCGCCGCGGCCGCCGCCTGAGCTGGAGCCGGAGCCGCCCGGCGGCCGCTGTGGTTGGAGCTGCCGACCGCAGCGGCGCGGCGCCCACCGGCGCGTGGGAACCCGATCGGCGCAGGCCGCTCCGGTGTCGCCGCATCCGCCGGCGGCCCGCGGTCCGGAGCCGGCTCCGGGGGCTGAGCGGTCCGCCTGGTCCGAGCGACCCGAGCGGCCCGAGCGGTCAGAGCAGTCCGAGCGGTCAGAGCGGTCCGCGTGGTCCGCTTTTTGATAGGCTATCATCCGATCGGTTCAGAAGCCGGCAGCCAGCGCTGCAGTTGCATTTGTCTGGGAGCGGGCGAGGCCTGTTGTGTCGTGCCGCAGTCGGCCGGCTGCCGTCCGATGGCACGCTAGCGTGCCGCCCAGTAAAAACAGAGAAGGCTCCGAGGCGGCCGGCCGCGCTCGGCCGTGCGAGGGGCCGGCCACAAACTTTCACACTGTTTGTGTTAGCTTATCGCCGCACAGGCAGGAAACCTCGGAAGAGACCGTGGCTAATTTGGACCCATCTGTATTGATCTATGTCAGCGGGAGGGGGGGGGGGGCGCGAGCGTCCCGCGCGACCCGTTCGCTCCGTCAACACGGCGTGGCTGACCGACGGCGGAGGGGGCGCCCGCGAGGAGCGAGCCTTCCGCCTCCCTGGCGGCGCCCGATGGGCTGGCACCGCGCGTCCCGCGTCGCCGGGTCGGGATCGGCTCCGGGCAGCGGCGGCGCGCGGAAGTGGCAGCGCTATCGCGGCGGCGCGCTGCTCCGTCCGTCATCGGCTCGCACCGGGTGGGCCAGCCGGCTGGCTGCCCCTCAGCCGGGTGTGAGAACTGCGCAGCGGCGCCGGCGGTCTGCACTAGGCCGGATCATCCCGCCGAGCGCCTGCAATTGAGTGGCGGGCTCAGCAGGGATGAATGGCACGGCGCTTTTTTACAACGGTGAATCGCCCGATTTGGAAGCACATGGCGCCAAGTTTTGGCTCATCTCTGTCCTCAGTGGTAGAAGTGAAGCTTCTCGGTACGGAGGGCCAGATGGCAGGGGCCCAGTGGCGCCGCTGATGTCATAACAAATTGCCGGCATTCCTCGGGCCAAGCGAGGGCGGAACGTAGGGTGTCTTTTGACAGGCCTGCAGCGCTGCGTCGCCCCTGTCAAGCCCAGATTGCCCAACAAGTATCTAAAAACACTCAGTGTTTTTTCGGAAAATCCGGTGTTTGGCCCCTGAGGATTTGTACCGAGGTGCACCCTTGAACCCAAGCGCTGGTGCCTTGGCCGGGCGGGGCTGGCACGTCGCAGCGAACAACGCACAGAAGGCGCGCGAGTTTGCCGGCGGCCGCCGTCTCTCCGCCGGACCGGCGGGCTGCCGGACCGGCGGGCTGCCGGATCGGCGGGCTACCGGACCGGCGGGCTGCCGGACCGGCGGACTACCGGACCGGCGGACTACCGGACCGGCGGGCTGCCGGACCGGCGGGCTCCCGGACCGGCGGGCTACCGGACCGGCGGACTACCGGACCGGCGGGCTCCCGGACCGGCGGGCTGCCGGACCGGCGGGCTGCCGGACCGGCGGGCTCGGCCGGACCCGACTGGGGCCGGCCTTCGTCGCTTCCAGGCCGCCGTGGGCTGGCGGGTATGACACGTCGGCCGGCGCGCGCCTCTCGAGGCCGAGGTCGGCGCGCGCGCGCGGCCCCCGGCTATCGCGCGGCTGGATCGCCACTGCGCGGCGGCCGCGGCCCCCGATTGAGGCGCGCCAGTTTTTGTGCGGACTGCTGGCCGCGCGCTGCTGGAGGACGCAGCTGGCCGGCCGGCGGCGGCGAACCGGGTCCTCCGGCGGCGAGGACGGCGCTCCTTGCCGATATCGGACCGGGACGGGACCCCCGGCGGCGGCTTGGGTCAGCGGTGCGCTAGGGACGAAGGGTGACGTCTGGGTGGATCCCTGAGAACGACAGACCTCCCTTCGGACCGCTGGGTCAGCTATTGGGTAGGGGAGGGGGCGGAAGAGACCCTCGGGAAGGCACCCTGACTGCGAGAGGCTCCTCACCTGATGCCCGGCCTGTTGTAGCATATTTGCTTGTGATCGCTTGCGTACAGCCAACGAAACTGTCGTACGAGCTTTGTCATATGCAGTGTGCATGCCGTGTCCTTTTTTAGCTTTGTTCGCCATTTTTGGACGTCGCTTAGTTTTAGCTACGAGCTATATGGCTGAGCCATGTAATATTTTTGCAGCTAGTGTTCCGTCCGTTTGGTTTTGCCGTTAGCCGTGTCGTGCGCCGGGCCTGAGCGCCGCCGCCCGGCCGCCCGGTGACCACTGTCCGCCTGTCGCCGCTAGACGAGCCGGCCTTGCCTGTGACTGAGGCCCGGACGCCGAACGCGATGCTGGCGGCCGGCGCCCACACCCACCCTAACGGCGCCCTGCGGCCCCGGCGCCCCAACTTCCTGCCCGTCACCCCGTGCTATGACGGGCCGGCCGGCCGGCTCAGCCCTACGGCCGAGGAGACCGTGCTGGCCGGAGACCCAGGTGCGATTGGCCGCCTGCGTGCTGTTCTCTCCTACAAGATATGTCTCTCTCCTCTCGATGCTATGTTATCATCTCTTCTCTCTTCTCACTATCTTCTTCTCTCTCTCTATACTTCTCTCTCTCTCTCTATCTGCTCTCTATCTCTCTTCCTATGCCTGCTCTCCTCTCTCTCTATTCTATCTCTATCTCTCTTCTCTTCTCCTCTCTCTCTCGCTCTATCTAGCTGCTCTATCTCTATCTTCTCTCTCTCTCTCTCTGCTCTCTGTCTATCGCTATCTCTCTCTCGCTGCTCTCTCTCTCTCTATCTCTCTTCCTCTCCTATCTCTCTCTTTCTATCTCTCTCTATCTTCTCGCTCTCTACCTATCTCTCTCTCTCTCTATCTCTGCTCGCTCTCTCTCTATCTCTTCTCTCTCTCTCTCTCTCTCTCTTCCTCTCTCTCTCTCTCTCTCTCTTCTCTCTCTCTCCTTCTCTCCTTCTCTCCTCTCTCTCTCTCTCTCTCTCGTCTCTCTCTCTCCTCTCCTCTATCTCTCTCTCTCTCTCTCTCTCTCTCTCTCTCTCTCTCTCTCTCTCTCTCTCTCTCTCTCTCTCTCTCTCTCTCTCTCTCTCTCTCTCTCTCTCTCTCTCTCTCTCTCTCTCTCTCTCTCTCTCTCTCTCTCTCTCTCTCTCTCTCTCTCTCTCTCTCTCTCTCTCTCTCTCTCTCCTCTCTCTCTCTCTCTCTCTCTCTCTCTCTCTCTCTCTCTCTCTCTCTCTCCCTCTCTCCCTTTCGTTCTCTCCTTCCCTTCTGTCTTTCCACGTCCCGTCGCTCGCTGTATCTCTTCATCTCTGTCGCACTCTCACTCTCACCGTCGCTCGCGCGCTCGCTCACCGTGGCTGTCTCTCACCTCCCAGCAAGTTGTTTGTCGTTGTGGCCCCGCTTGCGCTGTGTTCGACCCGTCGCAACAATCCCGTTTGATTTGCCGCGCCCGACCCGCCCGTTTGTTTTGTTGGGGCCGGCGGGCGACCGTGCCGCCCGCTCCGGCCGCCCGCCCCCGCTGCCCGCCCCGCGCCGCGGTGCCGCGCTCCAGCGGCTGACCAGCCGCCGCCGTGCCCGACAGACACCAAGTCGCCGCCGATCCGACTGCCGTCGTCGCCGCCGCCAGAGCCCGGCAAGACCAGCACGCCCAACTCGCTGCTGGGCGTGGTCCGACGCCAGAAGCCGTGCGGTGAGTACCGCCGGCGGAGCTCGGTGTGTGGCCGCGTGTCCCGGCGCGGCGGCCCCTGCCCGCCGCCGGCCGCAGGCATCCCCCGTCATCTGCAGGTGTCGGATGGTGGTCTGCTGGCCTGTGGTCGCCCCGAGTCAGACACGAGCTGTGGTGTCAGTGTCTTGTGTGCGCCGGCGCGGATCGGCTTGGTGCGTGTGTTTTCAGGCGGCGTAGATCTGCCAGCTGTGACTCCGTGACGATCTTGTTCTGAAGACGTTATTCAAGGATCTCCGCAATACCGCTAATGACCAGCACAAGTGAAACGCGTCAATTTCACAAACTTCTTCCTGAAGCGACATTGCGTAAGGGCCGGTGTTTATTTGAATAGCAAAATCGACGTTTAATGTCTGAATCACTAATGGCCGGTATTCACGCACCGGTCATTAAAGCCGTGCGCTTGGCGCAGTTAGAAATGCCGGCCGTCGTTGCCAGGTGTGGTGTGCGGAGACAGGGCGGGCTCGGCGCGCGAGCAGAGGCCGCCATGGCCTCGCGGCGCCGCACGACGTCCGCCGGGAGGCGACGGCGTCTCTCCGGGCGAGGAGGGCCGGCCGCAGCGGCCCGTTCCGCGTGGCGCCCGCAGAATGTCATCTGCGGCCGGTGCCGCACGTTCTCACGCGCCCGCCGCCGGTGAAAGCGGCGGCCGGGAGGGAGCGCTCCTGCGCACGCGGCCGCGGCAGGCCGCCGACGGCCGCTGCTGTCTGGTGATGCCGACGCTGACGGGTGCTGTCGGCCTGACGGGAGGGGGGGAACCGGCCGCTGACCGCCAGCGAGTCCAGGCTCCGCACCGGCGGCCGGACCCGTCCGTGGTCCGGCCGCCGAAGCCGGCGTGTTGCGATCGGACGTACACATCCCACGGCCGTGCTCGTGCTTATATCCCTGCCTTGTGCTCTGTCGCCGCTCGCCGCACGCTCGGCGCTCTGTTGCGTCCTCTCCCTCCCCCTCTCTCCCTCTCTCGTCTTGGAGCCGGCCGGCCGTCGGGGACGTCGTGCCCATATATGGTGGCGCGGTCCAGCGACACCGAACGGGGCGCCGAGTGAGAGACGGAGGCAGATGCAGAGGGTATGACAGCCGCGGACCGGCCGTGGCGGGCGAGACGGGAGGCGGCAGACGCCGAGCAGAGCGCGTACTGAAGGGCAGGGGATGACACGTGAGGTTTGCAGCGCGAGGCGGCAGATACCACGCCGTCAGTGGCCACGGCGGGGAGCTGGCTCCTGCCGCCGAGAGTCGGCTCAGTGGCCGCGGAGTGGTCGGCGGCCGCTCCTACTGCGTGAAGACTTGGACCCTGCGCGCCGGAGGACCAGCGCAGCAGGATGACACGCGCCGGCCGCTGCCGGCTAGCTGGAGCTCGTTGTAGGTCGGTGGGTGGGCCCGGCACCGCAGTGCTGGTGACGTGGTGTGCCGGCGCCGCACACCCCACATGCCGCCGTCTCGCCGGCCGACCAATATCTCACCGGCTAGATAAACAGTTTATGTGCAGTCTGCACCGGCTGCGTAGTGGGCTCGCGACCTTTTCATTTAATTTCATTTTATCATACGATTGGCTGCCACAAAGGTAGCGCAATGAAGGATTGTCACGAAAGTAAAAGCCGCCTGTCTACGCCGCCGTCGCCGCCTCACTCCTCTCCTGAAGGGCGCACATGAGGAGCGGTCAGCCCTGACCGGGCGGACGCTGCTCTCCGGCTGTTAGCCGCGACCGGCCGCCGTCGGCCGCCGGCGCACCTGTCCACGGACCGGGCACCGACGAGCGGCGGCCGGGCGGCGGCCTTGGCCGACGGGGCTCCGGGGTGGTGGGCCACGTGGCTGGGCTGGCTGATTGCCCTGCTCTCGGCCAGCTAAGCCGGCCGCAGACGGGCGGCTGGCTCCGACGGCGCGGCGCCGCATCGCGCTCAGCCGGAGAGGCGCATCAGCCCGGCGACCGCCCCACCGGCCGGCTCCTGCACCCGGCGACCGCCCCACCGGCCGGCTCCTGCGCCCGGTGACCGCCCCGCCCCACCGGCCGGCTCCTGCACCCGGTGACCGCCCCGCCGGCCGGTTCTCTCACGCGCCGGCCGCTGAGTCGGGCGACTCCGCCCCCACCGGCCACTCATCAGCGCTGGCAGGCGGTGTTCCCGCGCCTGAGTGACGGGAGCGCGCCAGACGCGGGTTCCGAGCACCGGCCGGCCTTGTAACGGCGGCGGCGGCCGTGCAGGTGCGCCGCCGTCGCAACACCCCTTCCTGATCGGGGTCTGCACTCACGGCTGTCGGCGCGCTCCCGCCGACGGGGCGCGCGCGCCGGCGCCCGCGGTCGGCCGCCGTCCGGCTGACGGCTGACGTCCGCTGGCCGGCGCGCGCCGCCCGCCAGCGGCGGCCGGCCGGCCCGGAAGCGGCGCCGTCAAGGATGCGTGCCGCGTGCCCCCGGCGGCGGCCCGATCGCGTCGGGCCGGCTGCAGCTGCCGTCATTTGCATCGCTTCTGTCGAGCATATGCGGTGGTGAAAGGACAGGTACGAGGTCGCGGTGGAGCCGTGTAAGGTGGACGGAACGCCGCGAAGGCAGCCGCCACAGCGAGAGACGATTCCAAATGGCACTGGAATGCGATTTTTTTCGGAATATCCTGTTTATGAAGGCGCTTAAGGACATGAAGAACGCGGCAATGCCAGAGAGGTATTTCTTGAGTGACAGGTAGCATTTGGTGGAAACAATAAAACCTCCGTTGTTTAAGCTTCCAAATGCGTGCGCAGCTCTTCAAAATGGGTATGGGAAGTCCGGGAATTGTACACGCCACGTGATGTCTTATATTTACTCAAACTACGTCCGCGACATTACATCAGCTTAGATGAAGTATTTGTTTACAGCATTTGTTTACTTTTCTTACGACAACAGCACACCGTTGCACTTAACCCCTGTTCAGAAGGTGGTGACTGACCCCGGAGGAGCGCGTCGCCGCCGTGCTCTGCTGGTGCGGCGCGGCCCTGTGAGGGGGGCGAGAAGCGTGCTCCAGATGTGGTTGCCACCCGGCGGTGCCGTGCTCTGCTGGTGCGGCGCGGCTCTGTGAGGGGGACGAGAAGCGTGCTCCAGATGTGCCTGCCACCCGGCGCCGCCGTCCATTGGCGTCCGACTCACGTAACCTTGCGTAACGGCAGCCCGGCCCGCCGGCGGCCGCTGTGCCGTGACCGACGGAGGTGCGGCGCCGGATTAGGGGCCGGTGCGCTGCGGCCTGCAGGTCACCGGCCCCGCTGACCCGGCCTGACACAGCCTGACCCGGCCTGACCCCAGACAGAGCTGGAGGAGGGGCAGCGTTTATGAGCGCCGCCACTGTCGGGCCATGTTTAGCGGCGGCGGTGGCTGGGCCGTGGCTGGGACGGCGCCGGCCTCGCGGCGAGGTCGCGAACCGGCGCCGGGGCTACCGGCCTGGAACAGAACGGCCTCGGAGTCGTCCAAGAACGGACACAGACCGCACTGCCCCCGGGACAGTCACGGCATGGAGACGGAGCGCCACACGCACTTCGGAGGGCTCGCACCCCGGCTGGCGGTGCAGCTGGGGCGCCGCGGAAGCTGCCGACGCTCCTGCAGCGCCGGCGTTGCGTGTGTGCAGCCGGCGCCCACGGGCCGGAGCTGGGCCGGGGCTCCGGCGGCCACGCCGCCCGGCACCGTTGGCCGTGCGTCTGTCGGGGACGCTGCGCCGACGGGTCGGCCGCGCAGGACCGGAACGCCACCGCGGGCTCGTCAAACACGGCGCCGGCCGTCTCGATCGGTCACGCCGTGCATCAGGCGCGCCGCCAGCGCAGCGCCCCGCTAGCGGCTGACGGCGCGTGGGAGCTAGGGTCGAGCCGGACCGTCCGCCAGAGCCGCCGGCCACTTGGGAGCAAGCGAGCGCGTACTTTGCCCGGTGTCTCGGCCATCATCATCGCCATCATGGGTCGGGCGGATCGATCACGACCGGGTGCTGTTTGATGCTGACCCGGAGGGAGGGAGGGAGGGGGGGGGGGGGGTACTGACGGCGCCGCTGTGGCTCGTGCCGACTCCTGACGTGACGTCCATCTGGCCAGGCGGCCGAGGGCGGGCCGGGCCGGCTCCGGCCGTCTGTGGCCGCCTGGGGCCGCCTGGGCGCGCGTGCGGAGCCGCCGGCCGGGAGGCGCTGACGGTGCGCCACGGTCGCCCGGCGCCGCCGTCCGTCACGAGGAGACGACAGCGGCGGCGGCGGCGGCGGTGGCGGTGGCGGCCCCCCCGTCATACCCGCCCATACGCTCCTCGGGGTGGCTGTCGCCGATGCTGAGTCTTGTTTGAGGCGCGGCGCGGCGCGGCTCGGTCACGCAGCGTGGCGCAGCGAGGCGCGGCCTGCGGAGGCGACACGCCGCTGATACTGGAGCTGGGGAGCAGAACGGCCGCTTTCAGTCGGTATATTTGGGGAATTTCACGCACCGTGCTCACCCGGCCACATCCTGGGGGTGCCCTGGTCACGCACGTCGCGTCGTCACGGCTGCCGAGCGAAGAGTCGTCGACCGGCGACCTGTTGAGCTATTCTGGGGTAGCGGGGTCGCGACCAGCGTCTGCCGAGGTCACCAGCTAGCTAGCTGGGGTCCGGATTGGTGGTCACCCCGAGGTCCTGGTTGGTGCTTCGAAGCCTCTCTGGCTGGTTCCCGTGTGTTGGTATGCCTGCTCAGAGCAAGTACGTAACCACGGACCGGTCATATGGTAATTTGCTCTGGGGGTTCCCGGCCACGCCCTGGTGCTTTGCATCCCGTTGGAAAAGCTCTCCCGATGAGCCAGGAATTTCTTTCCGATTCCTGGCCTTGTCGGTCGTGGTAATCGTACGTAGCATTCGTGGTACATCGCACGCAGAGGCGGGCTGGGCGGACATGCGGCGGCGTTGGCGCCGCGCGGCCGCGCCGGCCGGGTGGCGCGCTCAGCTCGGCGGATGGCGGCGGCTTCCGGCGCTGACCGCACCCGGCCGCTCCGGCGCCGCGCGCACCCGCCGCGCCGT